GGGCATAAAACGACAATTGGGTTCTGTTCGGAATGCCCGTTTCACCGATTCGAAGAGCAGCGGTCCCAAAATCACCTGTTTCCTAACAGACGGTGAGGACGAGAAGGGTGATTCCGATAGGAGTTAATAGCGAAGCCATGATTGAAATTGGATGCACACTTACTTATAGAAGCGGTTCACATGTCCCTTGTTGAACTCCAATGACACAGCTGGAAGTTTAAACTTTGGGAAGTGTGCCTGTAATAAAGATACATGGTAGTCCAACTCAGCAACCGCTCTCTTGTAGTTCACATCCGAAGAATGGTCAGTGCATTTGGAAGATCGTGTGAAGGCTGGAATCGCTGAGGAAAGAACGGACTGAGGGGGCGTCTTAGACGAGTCGGTCGAAGAGAGACTGCCCACTGATTCTAGTGGGGTAGTTACGCTGGATTCGGAGGCATACTGAAGAGAGCGTCCTGCACGTGCAATTGAGTGAAGTTGAGCCGAGCCAGTCGGGGCCACAATTACATCATAGTCCCCGAAAAAACTGACCAACAAGTTGTTCCCGTCCACGGCCATCACCTTACCCGGCCATAAGGGGTAGTGCAAGAGGCGAACCCAAACAAGGGGATGAACCTGGTCCTAAAGAACGCAAGAATGGTTTGTAATGTGATAACGTGCTTTGGACAAAGGTAAAATGGATACATAAAATGTCCTCCTACTATTACACACTACAAGATATTTCTGGAACTTGCCCAGTTTGGAGAATCTATATTGAATACCTTTAGAGAAGAGTTAGGCTCTATATCAAGCTGACGTTTCACAAGCCCTAGTGGTTTGTGGTCTGTATCATTCATGAGCTCAAGTCATGGGGTCTGAGTATTTGAACCGACAGCCGCCCAACATCTTCCACCGGACCATTTGTTATCATGACAAAGTTACGCTAAGACCAAGAATTTGTTCCAACCATGTCCACACAGTTTGATTGGACAATGTTTAGCACTATCAGTTCCATTTACCGGTAGATACGTACGGTTATGCGTCGCAATCACTAAATAAGATAGGTCGTGTAAGATAGTGAACCGATGGTTGGGACTTTGCTGGCGCAAAACGGGCATTTGTCCATAACACTCAGATCAGACGCGTGGTAGGTCTATCATCGATGAGCCATTGTTAACGAAGGACGAATGTGGATGGGTTGCAAAAGATAATGCACGTAAATTTTAAGGTCACGCCCCAAGCATCATACGAAAAAAGTGGCGTAGGAACAGTACCTACTGATGCACAGTAATGACACAATATGCGGGCCAAAAAAGCCCCTGAATGTTATCTCGAATTGATAGGTCAAGAGGTGTTCAGTGTAGGCAGCAGTCGGCCGGTTCGTTATGGAAGTGAAACACTGGAAGAACAGGCAAAACACACCGGGTCTGTTTGGATAAAGATTCCATACTACATCTTGATCAACCAAATCAACTAAGCTACACCAGGTAGTCTATCCTGAAAATCGATGAAAACGGGTTGAGCAGAGTACTTGGACTCAAGATATAAAAGTCAACAATGAATGGGAATAAAAAGGCATCGGAAAAAGATGTTCCTCACGCAAAGTTTGGTGAACCACCAAGGATCGATGTTTTCTGAATTTGTTGCATCCGTTGATACTGCGGATTGATCGACAGCACCATCATCTCGTGTCGCAGAGTCAGACTGAGCCTTTCCAGCAACAAAAGTGGGCAGCCACTCATTTGCAGAGAGAAGCGGAAGAGTCGTGGAAGTTGAAGGCAGGAGGAACATTGCTACCATGCGGTTTTCATAACACACAGGACAGGCCTTCATTAGAGCCAGTTCTCGTTGGCATGCTCGATCGAGGATGCGAGCATGGGAAGTCAGTAGAGAGCTAGCTGTGGGTGCACGTTTGTGTAAGGAGTGGAGAAACAAGAAACTAGTTAGGAGAACAGCATGGTAGGAAAATGAATCTACCACATTTCAAGAGTAGTACGTTATCGTCTCATCTCTTTTCTCCCATCCAGCCAATTGTATGGACCTTTCCGAAGCCTATTACTCAACTGCTAAACTTTATCTTATGACGTAGAAAACGAAAGCTCTCCACATCTGAGTCAGGAAAAAATCGTTCATCTGTAACATCCTTCTGGTACCTAGCTGTCATGCCACCCGGGGAAAAGCATGAGGACTGAGGTACTCCAGAATGCCCAAACCTAGGCAGAGAAATTCGAGAGGCAAAGGTCGGGTTCGAACCACATCTCACCTCAACAAAAAAGAATAGTCATTTCATCCTTGGTTATTGAAAAACATTACTTTGGTGTATTTTCTATCAAACTGGTTAGTCTCCATGTGATTCTCGCGATTACAACATGGTTCCCGCATCCATTTCGTCGATCGTCTGGAAGATGTCTTAACTCTGATATAGTGGATTCTCGACAGTTCCTCATCAATGAATATGATGTCCCGTTTGAGTTATCACGTGGTCCTTCGTCAAACTCGTGTAAGTGGGATGGGTTCAATCACAGAAGCTTCTGCATTTTCAGTTTTACGTGAAGAGTACGTTGAGACAGTTGTTTGACTCACATGGCACAAAATATAGTAGCGTTCAGGGCGTACGACACCTCTGATGCCCTTGTTATCACACAAGAAGTAGCTCTAAGTAGTCGCTTATTCTTTTGAAACAGCAATCTGATGGATTGGTAGTTTGTCTCCGTTTGCTTCTTATTCCAAAACTTTGGTATGCCAATGTTTTATCCATTCAGACTCGGACACCAGTTTACCCCAAGTCATTCTCTAAATGAATTGAAATAATGACTGATCTCATGGGTGAATAACAACTTATGAATGATTGCATACAGTACGCATGACATCAAATTTCTACACTTGTTTAAAATCTCTCAGCTGTAACACCCTTCCGGTGCCTAGCTTCCATGCTACCCGAAGGAAGCACGAGGGCTGGGATACTGTCAGGTTGCCGAAGCCTAGACAGGAGAAGCCGAGATTCAGAGGTCGGGTTCGAACCACGGACCTTCAGGTCAGTAATTTCGCGCTCTAGTCACTTGAGCCATCTCGTCCCCCTCTACACTTGTTTAAGGCAAATCTAACCCTAAGCATCGCGTGTAGGAAGCTATTACGTTCACAGGGTGATAGACTTGATCAGTTTTGATCGTAAGAGTATTTGACAAACTCATAGCACTTAACCGCAAAAGTCTACTTACATCCAGTAACTATTAAGATTTTGGCTTCTAGTATAATGAATGCAAGAACAACGGAGGGAAAAGCATGAGGACTGAGGTACTCCAGAATGCCCAAACCTAGGCAGAGAAATTCGAGAGGCAAAGGTCGGGTTCGAACCACATCTCACCTCAACAGAAAAGAATAGTCATTTCATCCTTGGTTATTGAAAAACATTACTTTGGTGTATTTTCTATCAAACTGGTTAGTCTCCATGTGATTCTCGCGATTACAACATGGTTCCCGCATCCATTTCGTCGATCGTCTGGAAGATGTCTTAACTCTGATATAGTGGATTCTCGACAGTTCCTCATCAATGAATATGATGTCCCGTTTGAGTTATCACGTGGTCCTTCGTCAAACTCGTGTAAGTGGGATGGGTTCAATCACAGAAGCTTCTGCATTTTCAGTTTTACGTGAAGAGTACGTTGAGACAGTTGTTTGACTCACATGGCACAAAATATAGTAGCGTTCAGGGCGTACGACACCTCTGATGCCCTTGTTATCACACAAGAAGTAGCTCTAAGTAGTCGCTTATTCTTTTGAAACAGCAATCTGATGGATTGGTAGTTTGTCTCCGTTTGCTTCTTATTCCAAAACTTTGGTATGCCAATGTTTTATCCATTCAGACTCGGACACCAGTTTACCCCAAGTCATTCTCTAAATGAATTGAAATAATGACTGATCTCATGGGTGAATAACAACTTATGAATGATTGCATACAGTACGCATGACATCAAATTTCTACACTTGTTTAAAATCTCTCAGCTGTAACACCCTTCCGGTGCCTAGCTTCCATGCTACCCGAAGGAAGCACGAGGGCTGGGATACTGTCAGGTTGCCGAAGCCTAGACAGGAGAAGCCGAGATTCAGAGGTCGGGTTCGAACCACGGACCTTCAGGTCAGTAATTTCGCGCTCTAGTCACTTGAGCCATCTCGTCCCCCTCTACACTTGTTTAAGGCAAATCTAACCCTAAGCATCGCGTGTAGGAAGCTATTACGTTCACAGGGTGATAGACTTGATCAGTTTTGATCGTAAGAGTATTTGACAAACTCATAGCACTTAACCGCAAAAGTCTACTTACATCCAGTAACTATTAAGATTTTGGCTTCTAGTATAATGAATGCAAGAACAACGGATGGTCGTAATAATATTGCACGCAATAGACCCTTGATTAAACCGCTTACGAATGAAAAACAAGATCTCCTAAGTGGCTGCAGTCACCTTGGCTCAACCTCAATGCAGGAGAAACGTGCGGGACAAGGGACAACCAAGAAGTTGAGTTGAGAGTATATATCGCTGGGGAATGGAAGTTAGTCGTCAAAGCATACCTGAGAAGCACTAAGTTGTGAGGGACTTCAATCAAGCTAAGCAGATCGAGCATCTTTAGCTATGCGTGACAAGTAGGAATATCTTTTAGTGTTGCTCTGTCGGACTGCCGCAGGGCTCCTTCCAGACGCGGTGCTCAACTTAGATGTTGTATATAGTGACTGGTAAATACCCCAGCTAGTAAGTGATGATGGTCTACGACATTTCCAATAGGTTGCCATCAACTCCCAGACCAGCAGTTTTCAGACAGTATGGTATACAATTTCGGATCAGTTTTTTGGGAAGCTGCTAAGCAGGAGTCATACAGCCACGTTTCTTTCATTTGTATTGAGTATTTCAGAACACCAGCAATGGCAGCTTGCTGCGCAGTCTTTCTGAGTGTTTGGTTGTTGCAGTGGCGCCAGATCGAACGTAGTTCTTTAGCGGAGAAGGGCTTCCTTTCTCGTGAACAGATGGTTAGGATTCATTGGAATCGGTCAGTGGCGGTTAAAACAGAGCCCGGTGAAATTAATATAGATGAGGAATTACTTGAATTATTGCAAGGTGTAGCGCTCACACGGTTTCCGTTGGGCTGTACTGTCATACCTGGTGATACTACTCAGTTACCCAGACCGAAATGATTTGTCGTTTTTGGGAGCCTAACGGCAGTCTACGAAGCCATGGTTGAGGAATCCAACTCGCAGGATAGCGAGATTCTCCCCTCCAGGAACGTATAGTCAAGTGCGATCTGTAAGTCTCAGAAGGCAGTTGGACAGCACAACCATAACAGCCGTTGGATCCCCAAGTTGGATTCCGCCAGGTCCGACAGAGCTGATTCATGTTTCGGCGGTTGGAATCGGGGTTTAGTTAAGTACCCATGGACGCTAACAATAGACCGTTAACCAGATGATAGAGCCTTTTATCTTAAGGAAACAATACCTCTGCTGGGAGAAGACAGCGATCAGGACCTCAAATGACCGCAAATGACATCTCACTGACGCATGGCAACCGCATCAGCCTAATGATGGAGCTATAGTGGGGGGCTTCTACTTGGGAAAATAGTCAGGCATTGAAAAGCTACGTGATTAAAGGGGAGTATAAAATCAGATGGGCGAATTATTATGCTGCCAGGGGTGGATGTTAATCCTAGACAACAACCCCTACTTTGGACAAATAAGAAAGGATGGAATCGGGAGAATGGTATAGCAGACTGAGTTTACTCAATGGTAAGACTGGTTGGTCAGTGATGTAAATCGAATTCTTCAACTGTGGCCTTGACTTCTGGACCAATTTTAGGAAGCCGACAGGCACGCGTAGTACCACAAAGCACTCTAGGTATAAAACACGCTCACTTAGTACTGACCACTACTACATGTTTCATTGGAATCTTACGAGGACCAGATGATTCACTACTATGGGTTAACAGTCGCTATGGGAAGCGTCCCATCTCGCGTTCCGGGAATAAAATCAGGAACAGATTGTTTGGTTCGATTGAATAAAATGTTTGCATTTCCAAGGTCTGTCCTTTGGAGGCACTGCTGCACAGCATTAGCCAACCTAAAGTGAAGTCATGGGGTAAGGAAGTTTTTCATTTCTCCTGGGAAGTGACCTCTATCCTGATGGATTTCAAATTGAACCGTGGCCGGTAATTTGCACTTTTGTGAACTCCCTTTGGGAGAATCTTTCTTGAGAGAGAACAGACAATGTGATTCTTGGCTTCGTAGTTTTGGTTGACTTGGTTTCGTAGGATCCAGCCCAGAGACGCAACTTCGAAACTAACTTGTGACTCAAATAAATCAGCCAAATAGATTCAGTATCAATAAATTCGAAACTATAGGAACTGCACCAGATGGAAAGTTGCCAAAAAAGGTAACAAAACGTATATTGTTACAGCTTGTGGAGTTGACAGTTTCCTGGCGCTGCTAAGAGAATAGGCAAGTCAACCAGGAACCTCAAACAAATCGTTGTATGAAGCGTGACAGATGTGAGACAAAGGTTGCTTCGTTATCGATTGGAAATTTCATGCTCAGATGCTCACTCATCATGGATGGAAAGTGGCAATAATATGTCTACAGGCCACATGTGCCACTAGTTTCTCACTTTTTCTTCCATTCATAAACACATGTGAACACCCACAGCATTCGCAACCCCAAAATGACTCATCGATCTGTGGGAGAAAAATGCCTACGACGACTGTCATGTTGAAGGAACAAGTAGTAATTTGAGCACGAGAATTTATCACTACACAAGCGAAAGTAAGATGCACTAAAACAAGGCAATCAATTGAACTCACTGCCATTGAAAATTGTACAGTCGTGCAGTATCCAGCGGAAATCACCAAGGAATGCCTGGGCA